GGTTCCTCTCCCACTCCCGCCTGTAAAAAAGAAGCCCTCTTCATGGCGCCTTTCTTCCCCCTCTGTGTACACATACCATTCCTGCCTCTCCCCAGCCTCCTGCCCCACTAGTTCCTTTAAACAATGGCTCTTTCATTTCTGAAGATCTTCCACCACGCGCAGCCCTTGGGTGGGATGTGAAGAGCCAGGGGAAGGCGGGATCGTTGGCGTTCCCACGCCCCGGCCAAGGAAAGCGATGGAAACCCCCAGGAGTCACAGCTCTTCCAAAGGAGAGCCTGCAGAAACTGCACCGAGTGGCCCGTGGGTGGCAAGAAGTGGCCGTGGGTGGCAAGAAGTGGCTTGTAGCCCATCCCATCCCTCTGGATGAACTCTCGGGCAGATGGAGCAAGCGGGATGCGACGCTCCTGGAGATGCTGCAGCTGCCGCCGTGAATGAAATACACCTCCCTCCTCTCTGATCTCAGGTCGGAGCTATCTAGGGCACGTTTTAACTGCCAGCATCCTTTTAATTAAACATGGATGGGAACTGAGGGATTGATTCCTGGCTTCTCTCTTGGAGTTTGCGTGCGGCATCAGCTTTGGCCCTCGTCCCCCACCCTGCGGGATGGTTTGGTTGGGGTGCGAGGTAAATCGCCGTAATATTTTGTAGCAGTTTTTAATCTCACTGGGCTGTGACGCCCAACTGTATCGCCTTGTGTTAATATTTGCTGGAGGAAGCTTTTGGCTCGAGCTGCTGAGAGCTTTGTGTCTGCGGCAGGGCTTCCTCCAGCTTTAACCTTTTCGTGTGTGTCCCATCCTGGCAGGGCCAGGCGATTAAAGAAGCTGGAGAGTGTAGGCTTGTTCTCATCTCATGCTGAGCCAGCTGTAAGAAATCCCAAAAGAGAGTATTTGGGCTGCTAAATTTGGTTAACAGAATCATAGATACGGGGTTGGAGAGGACCTATGGAGACCATCTCCTCCAACCCGCTGCCAAAGCAGGTCCACCCAGAGCAGGTCCCACAGGAACATGTCCAGGTGGGGTTTGAATGTCTCCAGAGAAGGAGACTCCACCCCCTCTCTGGGCAGCCTCTTCCAGGGCTCTGCCACCCTCACAAGGAAGAAGTTCCTCCTCATGTTTAGGTGGAACTTCTCATGTTCAAGTTTGTGCCCATTTCCTCTTGTCCTGTCCCTGGGCACCACTGAGAAAAGCCTGGCCCCATCCTCCTGACACCCACCCTTTCAGTATTTATCGGTGTTGATCAGATCCCCCCTCAGTCTTCTCTTCTCCAGACTAAAAAGCCCCAAGTCCCTCAGCCTTTCCTCATCAGAGAGATGTTCTAGTCCCCTCATCATCTTTGTAGCCCTCTGCTGTCCCCTCTCCAGCAGTTCCCTGTCCTTCTTGAACTGGGGAGCCCAGAACTGGACCCAGTGCTCCAGATGGGGCAATGATTTGCACCTCTTGCCTCACTCCATCCCTTCCTCGGGTTCACATCTATCTTGATTGCAGCTTTGCAAGAGGTGATGTCCCCAACCAGGGGAAGAGGCACACATTGCAAGTCTCGTGGCTACAGAAGGAATACAAGTGCAGAAGAATTCTCACCACATCCTCCAAAAAAAAGCCCCCGAATCGTGCTCTGGAGGAAGCTGCTCCAAGAGCCTTTCACTGACCAACTTCAGCCCAGCTCCGGGCAGCGCGTGGATGCTTCCTTCCTCCTCGCCCTGCGAGCAAAGGCCGAGCTTCCCGGTGACCTTAACGCTCCCTTGAGAAAGTCACCACCGTCTTGCCAGGCTTTTTGCCGGCAGAAGGACGAGCCACATGATGTGGCACTTGGAAACTTGGCTCCTGGTCATGTCGTGAAGCTCTAGGTTAAACAAGGAGCCAGCGAGGGCTTCTCCTGGCTTGTGTCTCAGCTGGGGCTGGGGGTGTTTTGGAATCTGCATTAGGTTGTCTCCCTGCCTGACGGATTTGGGGACAGGGATGGAGCCGCTGCGGATGACACACAGTCCCTCCTCCTTTTCTCTCATGATGAAGCCTCCCAGTTTAATTAGAGCCAGCAGGGAGAGAACCTCAATCTTATTATTCCTTCGCAGCGGGGCACCAGTAGCATTTCTTGGACGTCAAAAGGAGGATTAAATTAGTCTGCAAGCGACTAAGGAGGGTTGGTTTGGTTTTTTTTTTGTTGGGTTGTTTTCCTCCTTCACATCCCTCAGCTCTCTGGGAGGGTGTTAAGCCTCCAAAATCACTGTGGTGATCAATGCCTTCGACATGGCACACAGTCCCTGATGACAGCAGAGCTCCCTTCCCCAGGGGGGGTGGTTATTTGCAGCTTTCTGGGCTGCAAATCCGTGGGTGGGTGGGTGGAGAAGAGTGGGAATGGAAGGGCTTGGGATAATTGTACCCTTCCCAGGTGTGTTAACAAATAAAGGAGGTTTCTGGAGGTGCGACCTTTGCCAAAAGGGCTGTGGGGTGTGCGGCTCCCCTTTCCCTGGGACTTTTGGCTGGGGACAAGGTGATGGCAGCTGGAGGCGAGTTTTGCTGTGCTGAGCTTGCCCTGGCAGGCAGAGCAACCCCTTCCTGGGTGGTTTTTTTCTAGTCTTGCTGTGTCTGGAGAGGAACGTGCACCTCCCCAGCTCGGAGCCAGCTTGCCAAGGTATGTGCTGGCACCCCAAGCACGGAGCAGGCATCCAAAAAATAGGCAAGAAATTGAGCTCAGCTTGGTTGCTCGTCTCTGGGGTGATAATACCCTTTCCAGCCTCCTTCATGTGTGGGGCTGGGCCATCCTGGCACACTCTTGCTGGGTCCTGTGGACCTGGCAAGGCTTTATTTGGGGGTTATGCAGGAGAATGAAAATCCACAGCTGAGCCGAGCAAAGCAGGAGAGCATCAGCCCCTTTTTCCCCTCAATGTTTTTCCCCAAAATGTCAAGGGGGAACTACAGCAGTCCCTCTTGGATATCTTGGGTCCTCTGCTGAGCTGTGCTTCCTCCAAAAGAGGGGAAAAAAGGCTTCCCTTGGTGCATGGAAGCCTCAGGAGACTCTTGCCAAGAGGTCGGTTAGAAGTACCGAAGAGCTGCTGGTACCAGTTCCTAAAGGGGGTGCACAGGAGGGATGGGAATGGACAGGGAGTAGAGCCATAGGACAAGGGGTAAGGGTTTTAAACTGGAAGAGGGGAGATGGAGCTGAGCTGTGGGGAAGAACTTGTTTGGTGTGAGGGTGGTGAGAGCCTGGCCCAGGTTGCCCAGAGAAGCTGTGGCTGCCCCATCCCTGGAGGGGTTCAAGGCCAGGTTGGAGGGGGCTTGGAGCAACCTGGTGTGGTGGGAGGTGTCCCTGCCCAGGGCAGGGGGTGACACTAAATAGTCTTTAAGGTCCCTTCCAGCTCTAACCATTCTGTGGTGTCTCCCCACTGAGATGCAAGCAGCTTCTCAGCCCTGGCTGTGCTTGGAGTGATGCTGTTTGTGCTCAGCACCAGAGCCTGGCTCTTGTGTACGGAGGGGGCTTTGGATACATTAATATTTTTCTCCACCTTATTTTGGTGTCTGGAAATAGAATTTTGCTGAACTGCTGTGTACAGAGGGGGCTTTGGATACATTATTATTTTTCTCCACCTTATTTTTGTGTCTGGAAATAGAATTTTGCTGAACTGCTGAATATTGTCTTCTTCTTCATAATAACAAGCATTTCTTCTGCGTGTCCTGCTTGGTGACTTGATTTTTGGGGCTGAGCATGGCACGGTAGGTGCCCGTACCCAGGGCAGAGCTGCCGGTGGGGTGTTTCCCAGTGCTCTGGATAATTAACTAAATGGTTAAACTGGATAATTACCTTAAGGTGTTTTTTTTCCCCCATGAGCTCTTCCTCAAAAAAGTAAGGAACCCTTTTGAATCCCCATGGGAGCAGGAGGGTTCCAGAGGAAGAAAGACTCGATAAAATCAAGTATTTGATGTTGAAGTAAACAAACCTGTATTGTTCACCCAGAACTGGAGTTTTAACTACAAACAGGAGAGATCCTGGCAATGCCCCGCGGCAGGCGTCACGGCTTGGGAGTCAGCGCCTGTTTCCTAGACCCCTTTTGATGTCTGTATATGTAATTTGCTGTCCATTTGGACCAGTTTGGGGCAAGTTAATCACTGATTTTGGCTGCTCCATATGACCTGCGTCCCAGGGCACTGCCACTTGTCTTCCCACACCAGCACAGGGCTGGGAGGGAAATTTTCCTCCCTGTTTAGGCTGCAGAGAAGAGCACTTTGAGGTGGATTTAGTAAAGGCACTTATTATTTTTCAGCTCGGGCTGTCGAATGGTAAGGTTTAGGGAACAGAGGTCTTCTCTTAGACCCAGCAATATTTGGAAGAAAGCTGATAAACCTTCACATAAATAGCCAAAAGCAGCCCCATCATTGCAGTTAGTCAAACATCTCACCTTTTCTCTGGTTTTAGAACAGGTGTCAGAGATGCTTTGATAAATGGGTTTGAAAACTTGACCGTAGCTTCTGCAGATCTCTTTATCCTCCAGTTCTAAAGAATTCAAATGCCCGTGCCCCAGATCCTGAGCTCCTGCAGCATTTCCCCCAGGAGGGATGGTTCTGGGCTTTGAGATGTCCTTGCTCTCTCCAGACTCCCTTCTTCCCTGGCTGCTGCGAGCGGAGCGTGTTCCTTCCCTGTTTACTTGCATTTTGCCATGTGTGAAGCTGAAGCCTTGGCTCAAAATGGAGTCGAGAGACAATTCTGCCGCCTGCTTTTTCCAGCGAGCGTTGGAGTTGGAGCCGTGTGGTGTGTTTTGAGGAGCTGTGGAGCTTCAGTCGGGTGAGGACTATCCTGACTGAGCCATGCTATGAAAGAGTAGGAGATGCTTGGGTTTTTAGAGCCACGTCTTTTGAACGTGCTTCGTGTCGTTCCTGCCACCTCCTTTCTCTTGCAGGTGCTGCCTGGACCATCCCTCTTCCCTTTCTCTCTCCAGGACTTACTACATGAGGTGTAAGGAGCTTTAAGGAGCTATGCCTGATTCCTCCTACTTTTTCTTTTTCTGCAGCTGGTCAGTGAGAAGGTTGGAGGGGCTGAAGGGACCAAGCTTGACGATGACTTCAAGGAAATGGAAAAGGTGAGTGGGGAACAAGAGAAATCTCTAAAATCGCCCATATAACTCCTCTGTGACCTTGCCAGAGCCCTGAGCTGATCCTCACTGATGCTGGGTCCTCTTGTCTCTCCTACAGAAAGTGGACCTGACCAGCAAGGCAGTTACAGAAGTATTGACCAGAACAATAGAGTACCTCCAGCCGAACCCAGGTGAGTGCCTGAACCTCTCCTGTCCCCTTCCCTCTGCCCCCCAGTTTTCCAGGGAAAGGGGCAGAGAAACATCAGAGAGAACCCTTTAGGCCCTGAGATACTGGTCACCAGCCCACATTTGAGATGAGGTGACTCAGGTGAAGATCCAGATGCTCCTCTTGCCCTGTTCCTGGGCTGTAAGATGCTGCTGTTGCTGTTGAACAGTGAAAGAACAGACACATCTTTCACTTTGGACCTAGAGATGCCCTGAAGGGGACCCCTTTTTCTTGGGATGTCCAGAAGAAGTGGTGTCTCTGGGCTGGGAAGGGCTTTGTAGGCATCATCTCTGGAGCCTGCTGTCCTGCCTGCGTTGAGCCAGCTGGTTCAGAAAGCGCTCCAGGGCCTACGGGAGGGCTGGGGAAGCTCCTTTGGCTTTCACTGGCGAGCTGTGGGGGAACTATTTTTGCTTGCTGTCTTGGAAAAGAAACTTCTCTTTTCGTAGCGAGTGATATTTCTGGTAGATGAAGACAATAGGGCTTCTTGGCTTTGGGTCTAACTTTAAAAAAATTAAAAAAAAAAAAAAAAAAAGTTGGCAGTGGCCAGCAGTTGCTGGCAAGTCCCAAGTAATTGCAAACCCGGCTGTGGCTGTTTCTGTGCCAGCTTCCAGGGCCAAGCTAACCATGCTCAACACCATGTCGAAGATCCGCGGGCAGGTGAAGAACCCGGGGTACCCGCAGTCGGAGGGGCTGCTGGGGGAGAGCATGATCCGATACGGCAAGGAGCTGGGCGAGGACTCCAACTTTGGTGAGTCTCCCCCGGGGCCAGCTCCCCCCCTGCGAGCGTGTGGATGAGATGGCAAAGGCTGCTGCCAAATTTCCAGGCTGTTATTCTAAATTCTGGAAGGGCTGGATCACCCTTTGTGGCACCTCACAGCGCTGGGAGCTCTTAAAAAAGGTTTGAAGGCTTCCACCCAGGGTGACAGGGGTGAGCAGAGCCCGGGTCTCCTGCATCCCAATCCTTGGCATCATGTGCAAAACCACCTCTTAATGTTTTTTTATTAAACACCGAGATGAATTTGCATGCAAATTCAAAATGCTTCCAAAAAATGCATTCAAAAAAATGCTTCCTTGCTTCTAAACTGAACGACGGTGACGTGGAAAAGAGATTGAGCGAGGTGGGGAGTTTTACGGTGCAGTTTCCAGCTGCACTTTCCAGCTGCAGCCAAAAAGTCTTTTTTTTTTTTTTTTTTTTTGTGTGGCAATTTCTCATAACCACGTGGGATTTGCAGGGAGGAGCCGGGGGTGGTGAAGCCTTTGGGTGACATCAATTTTAATCCACTGAAACATCAGCCTCCGCACGTGACGGACCCGGTTCGGCGCACAGCTGGCTGATGGCTTCCAGCACAGGGAGGAGCCTTCAGGGAAATTAAAAGGCTCTGGCTAATTTGTGGGGGTGACGCAGGACTCTCGAGGGTGGCTCTGGCCAACGCAGAGCCCTGCATCTCTCTCCACTTGCAGGAACTGGAGAGCAAGGGGGAAGGAAGTATTTAGAAGAACACAGCAAACCTAAATTTCCTTTAATAGCCTCTCTTTAAAGGACTACTTAACTTGATAAATTTCTCTGTTAGTACTGCACACTCCCCCCCACCCAGGGCAGGTTGTCCAGAGTTATCACAATTGAAATAATTCTTCTTGTATATTTATTTTTTCCAGCTGGACAGCAGAGTGATGTTTGCTCTTTATCCTCTGTTTCACTTGTATATATTCTCCTGGGCTAATGTAGTGTTGAAATGGTCGGTTTGCCAAAGCTGCAGAGGAATAATTTCATCTATAAATGGTTTGCACTGGAATAAAAAGCCAAGACTAAAAATGCTTCGCTGTGATTCCGTCTGGCTTCGCCACTGTTGTGGCAGGAGCCTTAGAAAAGCATGAAACGAAATAGGTTTCAATAAGCAACTTTGAGCCCTCTAATTCCCAGGGGAGGAGAAAGGGAGAAGGTTGGCCCAGTAGAGGTTAGTGTCTAAAATGAATAAAAGGCTGCAAGTTCGCTGCCAGCAGCTGGGGAAACTTGAAAAGTTGGTCAGGGCGCTCTGGGTTTCAAATTTGGCTGAAGAAAAGGATGGATCAGAGCAAACGTGCCTCTGCCCTGAGCTTCTCTTGCCAGCAGTGGCCGAGGTTAAATCACCGCGTGGCCAATTAGCAGCTCGGCAACTCCCCGGGCCAAGAGGGAGTATAAAAATAGTATAAAAATACCACTTATTTTAAAATATTTTTACCTTTTCCTTCCTCTGTGTAGTTGGTAGGGATCGTTCCTGTTTTTCAGAGGAGAGAAATGAAGCCTGTTGGTGGAGTGGAGTCTGTCCCAACGGGTGGTTGCCCGCTCTTACACCGGGCTGGGGGGGTTTTGGACACGCAGAGTGGGGGGACACGGAGCTTGCACACGCTGGGTGTCTTGGCAGAATGGCTCTGCATGCAGCCTCCACAGACTTCAGCTCTGTTTAACTGGCTGGCCCCCTTCTCCCTCTTCCCTTTTCTCTTCCCTTCCTTTTCTCACTCCCAAGGGGATGCGCTTCTGGATGCTGGCGAATCCATGAAGCGGTTGGCTGAAGTGAAGGACTCGCTGGATATTGAAGTCAAACAAAATTTTATTGATCCCCTCCAGAACCTGTGTGACAAAGACCTGAAAGAAATCCAGGTAAACAGCTCCATGTTTTGCTTTTTTTAATTTTTTTCCTCTCCTCCTCATCTCTCTGGTTTCTGGCCTCTCCTGGTGCATGTCATTGCTTGCTCTGTCCTGGTAGGAACCGAGGACTCGCCTAAATATGGGGTCTCTTCCCCTCTGCTGGGTGTGCTTTCTCTCCCCACGTTCACTGGTGGTTTCTCCCTGCTCAGCACTGCTGCTGCTCCTACTCATGCAGCTCACGAGGCTGGGTGCAGGTTTGATGGTGCTTCATTTTCCATGTTTTATGGAGGATGCTGTGGGAGCCCATCCCGACGTGCGTTTTGGGCTCCAGTGTTTGGTTCTTTGTGGCACGAGCTCCCAGCCGTGTTAGATTTGGGCTGCCTGGCATTAAACTTCACGGCATTTTTACTGCTCTTGGCTCTACTCTGTTAGGAACAGGGATTTATAACATATTCTCTAGCAATGAGCAACCTTCTCTTTAGGTCTTCGGTGTCACTGGGGAGATGCAGAGGTTGGTAGCTCCCGTGTGGTACCGCAGAGACAAGTCTGTGCCAAGTGTGGCCGGGCTTTGTAACAGGATCCATCCCAAATTAATTCACCAGGCAGCTCTCACCAGTGGATTTTCACTTACGGTGGTGTCCCAGATAAAATAACCACCAACTCCTGCTTCAGTGCTTATCTCTACTCCAGTTCCACCAGCTGCCACGGAGCTAATTCATGGTCAGGGGATGCAGTGCCCACAACCTGCATCCCAGTTCCCCATCTCCAGAGTTCCTCATCCCTCCTGGGCAGCTGAAAGAAGGGGGTCAACTCTTTGTCTTCCCAAAAGTCTTGCCTGGGGAATAGCTCCAAGCTGCTCCTTGCAGTGTTCTCTTCCAGCTCTTGGCTGGAAGGGGGTGAAATCATGTCGCTGTGCCAATTTGTTGAGGATTTTAGTAAAAAGCCTCTGCCACAGCAGTAATTCTCTGCCAGACTGAGTTCGGATGGTCCTCTGGTCCCTGTCACCTCGCTGCAGCCCTGCCTTGCAGCTCTCCATCACATCCTGGAGCTTCTCTGGGGCCTGAACAAAGGTGGGAGCCACAAAAGCGTGTGCTCCAAGATCAGGTGTCTGAGATGAATGAGCTTGGCCTGAAACTAGAGCTGCCTTCACTGCAGGAGAGCTCGGCTGCTCCCACTCTCTGCCTTTTCTTTCTTTTCCTCTACTCTTCACAACCCTCCTCTTCCCCAGCACCATCTCAAGAAGCTGGAAGGCAGACGCTTGGACTTTGACTACAAGAAGAAGCGACAGGGCAAAATCCCCGATGAGGAACTTCGACAGGCCATGGAGAAATTTGAAGAGTCCAAGGAAGTGGCCGAGACCAGTATGCACAACCTCCTAGAGACCGATGTGAGTGCTGGGGGGGAGCTCTGGTTCCTCTGCCCTGGACTGAGAGCTGTGTTTCTGTGTGCATGAGGGTGGGATCTCTCAAGGGATGCAGAAATTAGACACTTAATTTCCACTTTTGTTTTTGCAAGCGTGGTTTTGTTCTCTGAGAACCCACATCTGAGAGCCCAGCATGTAGCTTGGTGGCCTCTTATCCTTGGTGGCCTCTTATCCTTTCTGCCCCTCGACCTGATCCAGCCCTTGGCCAGAGGAGAAGCTATGGCTTCTACCAAACCAGGTCTCTTCTTAGTGTGCTGGTGGGAGTGAGTTTGGGTGGGTGACACAGCTCACTTGGGAAGGAGTTGAAGAGTCAGCAAAGACAAGAGAGTGGTAGGAGGTGTCATCTGTGCTGAGACCTGGTGTCTGAAATCCCAAACCTTCTCCTCATCTCCCTTAGTACAGTATGGTCTCCCCAGTATGGTCCTCGTGTACAACAGGGGGGGTCACTGGGTGGCTGGGGAGAGCCATTCATAGAATCATCATAGAATCATAGACTTGCCCAGGCCGGAAGGGACCTCCAAAGGCCATCTAGTCCCACCTCCCCGCAGTCAGCAGGGACACCCCCAACTAGACCAGGTTGCCCAGGGCCTCATCGAGCCTCTCCTTGAATATCTCCAGGGATGGGGCCTCAACCACCTCCCTGGGCAACCTGTTCCAGTGCTCCACCACCCTCACAGTGAAGAACCCTCTCCTCATCTCCAGTCTAAATCTGTTCCCCTCCAGCTTGAAGCCATTGCCCCTCGTCCTGTCACTGCAGGCCTTTCTAAACAGGCTCTCCCCAGCCTTCCTGTAGGCTCCCTTCAGGTACTGGAAGGCTGCTATTAGGTCTCCCCGGAGCCTCCTCTTCTCCAGGCTGAACAACCCCAGCTCCCTCAGCCTGTCCTCGGAGCAGAGGTGCTCCATCCCCCTGATCCTCCTCGTGGCCCTCCTCTGGACCCTCTCCATCAGGTCCATGTCCTTCTTATATTGAGGGCTCCAGACCTGCACACAATACTCCAGGTGAGGTCTCACCAGAGCAGAGTAAAGTGGCAGAATCCCCTCTCTGGACCTGCTGGCAATGCAGCTTTTGATGCAGCCCAGGATGCGATTGGCCTTCTGGGCTGCAGCTGCACACTGCCTGCTCATGTCCAGCTTCTCATCCACATCCATTCATCCGACCTTGGTGTGATTCTCACAGATCGAGCAGGTGAGCCAGCTCTCGGCCTTGGTGGACGCCCAGCTGGACTACCACAGGCAGGCAGTGCAGATCCTGGACGAGCTCGCGGAAAAACTCAAGCGCAGGTGAGTCCCCGGGGGCTGTGGGCACTCTCAGTTTTCACAGCCATAACCTCTCCCCGTGGTACTTGTCTGTAAATACCTCACCATCCCTCTGAATCTGTCTCCTGATGTTAAAGCTCTTTCTGGCAATCACTAGAACTTCAATCCAGACCTTCAGGTTGGAGGGAGCGATGCCGGCTCCACAACCTGCTTTCAGTGATGGGGACATTGGGACATTCTGACACCTGAAACATCATCTGTGTTTGCAGCGTGGGCGGCTGGAGTTGAATTTGGCAGGGGTGGAGATGGAGGGTGGAATCCCCTTCATGCCAGGGCTCACGGCTCCTTGTTTTGTGGGCGTTGAGCTGGGGAGTGTCCCTCAAGAAGTGCCTTTTGGGCAGACCCAGAGTCAGAAGTTGCATCACGCTGGGGGAGCCAGATGGCTCAGATGTCACGAGCTGGACATGCCTGGCACCCTGTGTCACCTGGAACCACCTAACCTGGAGTCTTTGTGCCATTAGCTTCAGCTGTGGGGATTGGCCAAAATCCTTTCTGCTTCTGGTCCAGAAAGGTCAACGTCAAGGTTTCCCAGTTGCTCTGAAGACTAAAAGGTGAATTCAGCATGGTGGGGATGACGTGGTGGCCACAGGCTGGTGGAAGAGCTCCTAGATCACCTCCTTAAAGACAGGCATGTGTGAGCCCTCCGCCAGAACCCTCATTTTCCAGCGAGCCCTGCTCTCCCTTCTGTCCACGCAGTGGTCTCCTGGCTGCAGGTGTGACCCTGCCACGTGTGCTCTGGAGTTTTCGGAGCCTGTTGGTGGAAGGCAGATGGGTGTCTGGCCCATGGGAGCAGGGAGAGCCGAGGAGCTGCCTGGTCTTGCTTCTCTCCTGCCCCTCCTCGAGTTCCTGACCTCCCCACCAGCCCCCAGGCGACGTGTGGTTTGGGTCCAGGTGCCAAAAACCACAGAGGTGCTGTTGAAACACCGAGCGAGCTGGTTCCTGCGACCGCCGGGACTTGTACAGTCCTTCTTGCTGCTGAGTTCCTGACCTCCCCACCAGCCCCGGGCGATGTGTGGTTTGGGTCCAGGTGCCAAAAACCACAGAGGTGCTGTTGAAACACCGAGCGAGCTGGTTCCTGCGACCGCCGGGACTTGTACAGTCCTTCTTGCTGCTGCTCTGTCTCACTGGAGCAAACATCTCCCCAGACCTTGGCCGAGGAAGCAGAGGTGGCCTCCTGGCATCTGGGGCTTCCCTGCAGAGCCAGGGACGTGGCTTTGGCAGCCTGGGACTGGCTTGGACAAAGCCAGGGCAACCTCTCTCGGGGCGATCGATTTGGCAACGCTGCCTTTCTGCTCTTGCCTCCTGGAAGAAACTGCTGAGTGGATGCTGTATCTGGTTTGAATTAAGAAGAGCTGGGAGGATCCTGCCAAGTGTGAGCTTTCCAACCGCAGCACGAGTGTCCTCTGCTGGTGTGAGCTGCCTGAGACACCTCCGTAGCAAAGCTTTGGGGAGGGTGGCCCTCTCTGAAGTGCCAGGTCCCACACTCTGGGCAGGATCCATCTCCAGAACGTCCCAGCACAGAGGCTCGTGCAGCTTCTTGTCTCCAAACCAATCTGCTCCCCCCGTTATTGCCACCGAAGAGAAGAAATATCATCTTGATCTCATCATATCCCGTTTCGTATTTCAATTTATCCACAATTGTCTTCCTTCTTGCAGAATGAGGGAGGCCTCCTCGCGTCCCAGGCGGGAATACAAGCCCAAACCCAGGGAGACATATGACTTTGGAGAGACCGACCAGTCTAACGGGGGCTTCTCTTGCAATCCTACCTCCAAAGTCTCAGGTAAGGTTGTCCCGTGCGTGCAGCCCACGCAGGTGCCTCTGGAGCAGCCTCCTGGGGATGGAGGGGAACTGCTCTGCCTGGAAATGGTGGTTCTGGTGTGCTGGATGTGTCTGTGTGAGCTGGTGGCTCTTGAGAAACGTCAGAAATGCCTCTAGGTTTGGCCTGGTTTCTCTTGGAGCCCACCAGCCTTCGTTGTATTGGTTTTGGGGACATCCCAGTGGGGTCTTCAGCCCGGGCCACTCTCCTGTGGTGCCCAGTCAGTGCCAGCAGTGGCAGACAGGAAAAACTGAAGCATCTCTCCCTCCCTCCCCGTCTTCCATCACGCTGCATCCGTCCCCCCCTGGTCCTGACGAGGCAGGCGGGTTTCTAACACAGCATGTGGGCTGCCCACCCGCCCTGGTTCTCCTAACGGATCCTCCCTTCGACCCCTGCCTTTCCCCTCTCTCCAATTCCACGTTGGTTTAAGCATGTCTCTTTTTGTTTGGAAGCAGCTTCCTCCTCTTTCCGATCCGACAAGCCGTCCCGGTCCTCCGTCAGGAGTATGCGTGAGTTTCCTCCCTCCTCACTGCATGATGTGTGACCATCTCTCCCCGGCCCTCCTCGCTCTTCCTTCCCTGACACTGCTGCTTGGAGCCTCCTAACGCCTCCGTGCTGAGCCTGGCCAAGCCTTGAGCCCTAAATGAAACCAACCACCCTAAACTGGTGGTTACCATCCCCAAATTGGTGGTTACCACCCCAAAGCTGGGGCCGTTGCTCACCCGGAGGAGTTGTAGTGGTTGCCCTCACGCAGGCATCTCCGATGTGAGCCCACAGGGATCTCATGCTCTTCCACGAGGGATCAGACATCTGGAGGGTTACCCCCTTCTCCTTACAAGCACCCAACCTGGAGCTCCTGCTGCCCCCCAAAACCCCACCGCTGAAGACTGGGGGGAGCGGGTAGAGCCTTGGCACGCCAAGTGGGTTTTGTGGGTCTCAGCTGGGCAGTGAGGAGCCTCCAATGGGTTGTGGGGCGATGTGGGGTCTGTGGGTCAGCATTCCTGCTGAAGGGTCCCATTGGGGTCCCACTGAGGTCCCATTGGGGTCCCACTGGGGTCCTGAGGCCTGGCTGGGGCTGTGGCTTGGAGCCGTGGTGGTGGGGGAAGCTGGTGGTGGTGCAGCAAAGGGGCAGGAGGACTTGATGTCGTGGTGGTGGGACCAGCCTGGCATATGGGGAATTTGTCTCCAAACCATGAACCTGCTTGGCTGCTGCTTTTGGTGTTTTTGGAGTTCTCTTCTGAAGCTGGGTCCTTCCTCGCTGGGGGTGTTGAGCAGAGCAGATGTGCTTCTGCCCTTCGTGCCGTTCCCCATCCCTGGCTGGAAGAGCTCCAGCACAGAGGGGTGGGGGACGGGGGGGGCCCTGCAGACCCCCGTGGGCTGTGTTAGCTCTCTCCCTTCTCAGTAGGACCCCCAAAGCTGAGTGCCTGCCCATCCCAAAACGTCAGTGCAGAGCCAGAGCGAGAAGCTCTGCCCCAAACCCCTCTTTGCAGTCCGAGGAGCCTCCGATGGGTTGTGGGGTGATGTGGGGTCTGTGGGTCAGCGTTCCTGCTGAAGGGTCCCGTTGGGGTCCCACTGGGGTCCCATTGGGATCCCACTGGGGTCCTGAGGCCCAGCTGGGGCTGGGGCTCGGAGCCATGGTGGTGGTGAAAGCTGGTGGTGGTGCAGCAAAGGGGCAGGAGGACTTGATGTCGTGGTGGTGGGACCAGCCTGGCATTTGGGGAATTTGTCTCCAAACCATGAACCTGCTTGGCTGCCGCTTTTGGTGTTTTTGGAGTTCTCTTCTGAAGCTGGGTCCTTCCTCGCTGGGGGTGTTGAGCAGAGCAGATGTGCTTCTGCCCTTCGTGCCGTTCCCCATCCCTGGCTGGAAGAGCTCCAGCACAGAG